ACAAACGCAACAAACCTCTTCTTCAGATACGCTTTCAGATACGGTAAGCACGCAAAATTGTAATTTAATTTCTTATCATTTAGAATAAAAAATGAAATGAAATAAAAAATTAAACCTGAAAAGGAACAAAAAATAATTTAACAATATTAAAAAACGAAATACTGCATAAATCGCCTTGAGCCCGTTAAATGCACTGAAAAATAAAAGGAATAAATTATTTATTATTTAACGTCAAAAGGATTATTTTCACAATTGAATTTTTATACGCAGGCTTGTACGTCGTGAGATACTTTATGCGTAACTACCTGCCTTCCGCTTCGCTACATATGGTACAACCAACCATCCAACCAACCACTTAGCACATTCTCCGTATCTTTTGAGCCACATTGAAGTAGTTACATTTTATTTGTGTTAAATTTTATAGCCGATTTTTATGTTGCATTTTATGATTTTAGTGCCTTAAAAAATTCGACATGTGCCCTTCACACAGCATCCGCATCCTGTACATCAAAAAGGACCATGACCAATTTGAATTAGATACAATAATTGAATATGAAGTGATTAACATGTTTTATTGCCAGCCACATTTACAGCATTTTAAACAACATTTCCCCAAATTCTCACAAGATCTGTAAAATAAATCACATGGACCGAATTATATATCAATAATATCAATCAATTATCAATAATAATTTTTACTATAAGATTATACAAAGAATTCTTAAAGACAATGACGAATTGATTGTGTGTTTTGGTTTTATTTAAGATATGAGATTACACTGACACCTATACATAAATATCAGAAATACCAGATGTTTTAAATAAAATAACAATGCTGACCTAAGAATGTCAATAGGCCTACGTCTATCGTTTCACAGAAATAAGTATGCTTGCATAGGAACACAAAGAAGTGTTCTGTTAAGATATTATTAAATAATCCGTTATACATGGGTAAAAAAAACCCATCACTTCTATCGTGTGTAGTACTACTCCTCATATCATCGTTTTTAAGTTCAATTATAATATAACGCACACAAATCTAAGCTCAATTAATCTATGATTACGTCGAACAAATTCAACTAGGTTCCTGAACCTTGGTATATGTTGGACACAAAATCTTAATCTTCCTTATCCTCCCCCTTCTCATTGTTGAATCTTTAATATTAAGCGCGATTGAATGTACTTCGTCGATTTTCTTTCCTTAGTCACTCTTAAAGGATTCTCAATAAAATTTTTTTCCATGTAAAATATATATTCCATTTGGATGACCGTTAAACCATGTGACGTCTTTGATCTGCTACAGTTTTAGTTGTTTTTAACATGCCTTACGAGAAAACTTACCTACATTTTACTGGATAAAACAGCTTCCCTTATATTTATAATTTATACTTTGCTTAAGATTAAAACTTCTTTAAACTTTTAATTTTTAGTTTAGTTAAAGTTTTCAAAACTTGAGGAAAATGTACTTGATTAAGCAAATACCGAACTGTACTGTACCAAATCAACATGATTTTTCGGTTCAGTTTAGGTTTTTGCTCCAACAAAAGCATCGATTTTTTCGGTTTTTGGTTTAGGGTTCAGTTGTGGTACCAAGTCATAGTATTAACTATGAATGTTACAACCATTTCGTGTAGGATAGAATCTAACGTATTTAGTTAGTTTAGTGTATCTATTAGTAATTTATATCAGCTACTTATGTATAGAACAGACATATTACCTTGCAATAAAAGATAATACATGTAAATATTGAACATGATGGAAGAAATGGTGACAGAAGCATCACCCCCTGGAATACCTGAAGTGATCTTTAGTTCTCCTTTTCAAAGTATATGTCTTTTAATCGCATTTAGAAATATATACACTTGCTTTATATAGATCAGTGGTTCCGTTTGTAGGAACCACAAAGTTTAAGAATAATAAAGTGTATGATTACTATAATATACCTTATGCATCTCTGGTATAATGTATAATGAATTGTATAAATGCCCAGGTAAATTATATAGGCTCTAAGATAGATATATTATTACTTGGAAATATTTTGTGTATATTTTCTAATAAGTGAGGTCTCAGTGGACAAAGTACAAGCTATGTATTCATACCGAATAAATTTGATTCACAGATCATTTTTGACCACTTCGCAGATCAACGGTTGGTAACCACTAGCACAGATACATAAATATATGTGTATGATTGTATATATAATATATATATATATATATATGATTGTAAATAACAAGAATTTTATGTTTCTTGATTTATTAATAGTTATATAATTAATGTTTATTGTTTATTTTAATTACAATATTTAAACATCGATTAAATTAAGTTACGATTGGCTTGATTAATCATAAAGAATGTGTTTGCATTACAAAAAATCAATGCTGCAATTTTATAAAATTAATTTTGAAACACAATTCGCAAAGGAGTTATAATAAATTATCAAATACATCATGAGATATTTCCAATACTATTTAAAATATTTACACTTAGATTTTCGAATATACTAGAAACTTAAATTACATTGAAGAATGTCAAATTTTGTACATTTGCTTTTGCCGCAATATATAAGAATTACACATATATTATATAAAACTTTATGTACGCATTATCATGTGACAGCTTATTTATAATTACTAATATCGTGATTTGGTTATTATTATATATATAAAAAAATAAGTAAGAACCACTGGCTGGCTAAGTCTTTCCCGTTTTAAAATATAATGCAAGTTTAAACACAACTGTTATGTTTCTTTCCATTTCTATTGAGGGTTAAAAACATAGCATGTAACATATTTATTGAATAAATACTGGTATAATTGGTTAAAATACTATAATGTAATAAATTTATTGTGTATTACATATTGTCAGTTTAAAATTTTCTTTAAATATATATTTTTGTTCTTATGCATTGTTACTTATGGAGCTCAGTTCTTTACTCACTCCTATCAATCATAGTTATATAGTCTTCACACGACACTAGCTAATGTTCATTAATAGCTTCTTGGACACTACAGATCCAGAAGCAATCTTTTAATTTTATTTTTTTTCTTTCGTGCTCAATCACATTCTGTCTGCTCTGTATTTCAATACCATTTTGTTCACATGAATTTTTATGTTTCATACTTGCACGTTTCTCTCAAATTGTTGATTATAGAGTTTTCGTTAAAAATGCCATGTGAATGCCAATTTAAAAACTCTCAGGACAGCTTTTTTAGTAATTCAGTAATGTGAAAAGCATATAACACTGCATCATAATTATGAATAAAGACAATGATGAATATAATTATAGTCACAATGAGGATGAAGTAATGATTCTGTTGTTGATAGTGATAGTGATAATGAACGCGTAATGATCAAATTTTTCTTTAAACTGCCGATTATTATAATGTTCACAATGTTGATGATTACAGTGATTGTAATAATAATTATGATGTCAATTGTTATGACTTTGCTGACACTTTATTATGCTTTTTATCGTTTTAGAATTCACAAAATATTTTATTACAAATTCATTTGCTATTATTGAATGTATCTTATATTAATATAAATATACTTAAACTATCTCTTAGTTTAGTTAAATATGCTGTTTACAAAATATCTGTGTATACACAACGTTTGATATCAAAAGCGACATAAAAGAGTATAGAGTGTTTTCAAGAAAAGTTAAACCCTCCATAGCTTCTAAATCATTTATTCAAATAGCTTGTCATACGCCTGTTCTAAATATTATTCGATTTTATAGAAGAATATTTTATATATCATGCATCATTTTCTTATAATTGGTCCATAAAAAGCGTATTGTAACATTGAAAATGTTTATACATGAATTTTCAACAGAAATTAGATAGTGTTTTCAAGAAAAGTTAAACCCTCAATATCTTATGAAGAATTTATCAACATTTCTTGTCATACATCATTTCTAAATATTATTTGATTTTAAAGAAGAATATTTTATATATCATGCATTATCTTCTTATAATCGTTCAATGAAAAGAACTATTATAATAAACATTGAAAATGTATATACAGAGATTTTCCTCAGAATTTTTATACGAAGTGGGACTTTAATAGAGTAAGACTTAACAGCTACCCTTTACTAAACAATAAATTGTTCATTTCAATAGAAGTAAATAAGTATAATGGAACAATAAATAAGTATATATAGAATTTTTTACTATACTTATAAATATGGTATATAAGCTATAATAGAATAATACCAATAACAGACTAGAGCATAAAGTAGCATTAAGTGCCCAAATAGTCACTTATTTAATTGCTTTTAACCACAATTTATTGTTCATTAAGGTTTTCAATGTTGTTAATATACAGAATAATGCCATAAGTATTACTTTATTTCATTTCTATAATCTGTTTGGTATATATAGATATATATGAAACTCATAATTTTTTGTTTCATGGAGCAAGGGCTCATTTTCTACATTTATGCCGCTTATGTTAACATTTCTCATTTAATGGCTTTAAATAATTATACATTATAAACTTGCATTTCAACCAATTATACATAAATTTATAGATACATACTAATTTCAACAATATTTTAGTGGTTAGTTAAATAAATACTATTTTAGGTATCCTTCATTATCAGTTAAGTTGTGTGTGTTAATATGTTATTTCAATTTAAGATTAGAATATGTAATAACTACTTAAGATACAGTTGTTCATGTACATCACATATAAATTGAACATTTAAAAGTAATTGTTACATACATTCGTGGGCCAGTGTGCATACAACAAATTTGAAAGAAAAATTATGTATTAAACCTAATAGAACTGTTTAGCTTCCTTAAACTGAACTTATATATACTATGTTAGTACTTAATTAAATATACATTGTTTACACAAATTAAAAAAGTGTTAGAAGTTAACATGAATAAAAATTTGCAATAAAACTAAATATAATTGATATCTAATTAAAACTAAAAGAAATCAATATATTCAACTAAAACAAATTTTTAATTTTAAGAGTTAAAGTGGTTTTAAATAAATTGAAACATTGGTTCTAAATACGCAAGAAGATGTTCTGATATTTCTTGCTAACATTTTTTGTTAACAGTGTGTTAATAGTAGTGAGCCTGCGCCAACAGCGATAAATGTTTTGAAATATGAACATAACTTCTTATAAATTAAGAATATAGCGCAGTATTAAATCCTCAAAATATTATTGGTACTGGCTACATCAATTTACAAGTTCGTTAACCGATTAATTATTGTGGTCGGTTTGCACTGTTTCTCGGTAACAAGGCTCATTAGTCAAGATGGTGAATACTATTGTTTTTATCACAAATAGTCTTATTTGATTTTGGAAATGAGACACAAACATCAAGAAAATATATCAAAAACTTGAAAGTATTTATTAAAATATATAAATTACACTCACTTCCATAATTACACACTATCATACATATGTGCACTTAGAACGCGTGTCCAATGACTAAGATGAATGGAATGATACTAATACCACTTTTGGTTTGCAACTCTAGGCATTCATTTTAACTCTACACTTCTTTCATAAAAAATAAGATATCTTAATTATTAACTTTAAGAATAAAAATTTAAATTTCTGGTAAAAATTTGAATATAAAAATACAACACAGAAGTCTAATTGATAACCTAAATGAACTTACGTTACGTTACGTTACTATTTCACTAAACGAAATCCTTAATCTTAGACGTTACTGGAGAGTACAAATTTTACGCAATATCGCTATCGTTTGAGGTGTTACTTTCGGAGTCGTTGGACAAGTGATCAGTACTAGCTGCCATAGTAGTTTGAAATCTCATGTCAGTATTAGCGAAACCTGCTAATACTGCAGCTGCTTCATCATATCTAGCATCAAATGAGTACTGTGCTTGATCTGGTAAACACTCTTGATTGCTGGGCATGCCTAATGATAAAGAGGATGACATTGTTGATGAGGATGTGGACGAACAGACTGACGACAGCGAATCTGAGGATGATGTTGAAGTTGTTGAATTCGACGTATCCACAAAAAGTGATAATCCCGCATTTGTTGTATCTATATTAATATTATTGTTATTATTGCTTAATGTTGCACTAAGATTTGTTAGTATAATAGCCGCATCAGTTCTTTCTACGTCCGCTGCTCGTTGATAGCTGTCGGGATTTGAACTACTCTCCGTAAAATGTTCTGGCATATTTACTGTGTTATTAAAAGCATAGTTATTAGTACTATGATTTACGACCTCATTTTCAATTGGATTAGACTCTAAACAATAGTCCTGAGCTGTTGTTGCTGTTATATTGGTGTTTTCGTTAAATGTGCAGCGATCATCTTCATTCTCATCGCTTTCCGAGCTGTAATTATCTGAAGTATATTTTGGAACTTCCGTTTTTATATTCTCGTTTTGTTCATTTTTTACTGTGCTACCAGCTGACACATTTAATTTTTCTTTTTCAATTTCTAATCGTCTTTTTAGTGCGCTTAAGAATTCTTCATCCTCTTCGCTCGTATAGTCACTTGAGGAAACTTTTCTTCTTTTCGATTTCTGATTATAAGCGGGTTGCAAATTTTGTTGCGCTGATCTTTTCACATTGCTCGCTTTTCTTTGAACAATTTTTCTAACCGCTGCTCTCTTCTTTTCATGCTGAGTATGATCGCTTTCGTCACTACTACTTGAGGAATAAAACGGTGTAGAAGTATCACTACCAACTGGTCGATTCTTTGGCTCACTACGAGCTCGTATGCTGCGTCTGCGACGGAGTCTACTTTTTACTTTGTTTTGTTCGTTCATATTTTTTTGCCAACGCTGACGTCCACTTGAACGCAATCCCGATGAAGTGCTTGCTCCAACGTTTATATTTTCGTTATTATTTTCAGGTTTATTATTTTTGCTTTGATTTTCAGCTTTTGATTCGTTTACAAACACAACATCAGAATCAGACTCAGAATTTAAGCTCACCAATTCAGGTGTGCGTAAGTGTGGGGGCTTTAGTTCTAATACGAATTCACATTCATCATCGCCCGTATCAGAAAATGTAATTGTTGCGGCAGGTTCAGGAACAGTATTATTTGCAGGTATGTTTATAGTGTTATCACTACCAGACGGTTCAAGTGCATCCAAATCTATAATATCATCATTGGAACGATTGTGTGTTGTCAAATTAATAGCAATTGTTTGTGCATTACGCTCACTTCCTCCAACTGCAGAGAAACCAGTAATTTCACTATTATCGGGCCCGGGTGTAACATTATACGATAAAAAATTAACTAAACTTGTGGGGCCAGTATTACTTTCGCTGCGAGACTGTACACGATATTCGCTGAATCCTCTAAAATTTCGTGGGCTATTTCTGTCTGACAAAATGTCAACTCCTATCATATCATCTTCCGATGACTCTGACGTTGAAGAAAATTCAACGACAAGCTCCTCTGTGACTTGTGGTGCGTACTGTACTACACGATCATAGCCAATCATATCATATGGTGAACGAGCGAACGTTGATAATTCATGTATAAAATGTGCTGTCTTCTCACCCAAATATGAATGCACCCTTCTGCGAAATGCTACAGAGATAATATCGAAACGTGTCAACGTTTCACTTATGCTCTCTAGTACAGTAGTAACATTTTGATCTGTGTTACGTAGCAAACAAACAATATCACGATTAATCCAAGGCATCAAACGATGTAACTGTGCTGGATTATCTCTGTTAATGTAAGAATTGATTAAAAATATAATTTCATACTACTGTAACAATAATTGTAATTTACCTATAAAATCGTGCATTGCATTCACGCATACGGCCGGTGACATCATAAACTGGCAATGCATATAATTTCCTGTCATAGACGTAGCGTCGCCATAATTGGCTCAGTGTACCACTTGTACCATCTGGATTCTCCTGCCTGTACATGTTGAGCACTTCGCCACGATGTGTGTATTGTGTTTGTACAAGGCTATTCAGTTGCCTTCTACCCGGAGTTCTTGGATATCTGTCATTGAAATGTGGGAACACATGAGTATGCATGAGAGTATCCAAGCGCGAATCACCCCAATTGGCGGCAACAATTTCAAAATCTCTGCGTCTAAAAGGTAATACCGAATTATTTCTTATTAACTTTGAATAATAATTAAAATAACCAGTGTTGCATTTTTCATAGATAGGGATCTACTAATGTAATTCTATCAATATAACTTTACTTATAATAATCTATATAGATTTTAATATATTAAATTTTTTAATTTTTTACTGATTTTTTATTATTTAGAACATTATAACTCGACTACGGACATGGACTTTAGTTGCATTAATATTTTTAATAGTATATTTCGGAAGATTAGAAATAAATGGGGTACTAGCTTCCAAGGAAACGGAGTGACCCATTGCAGATATTTTGTGATGCTAACAAATCTTTATTAACCCGATGGCACTCAGATCATTATCGCAGCCAAAACTGTGGCAAATATATGAAATGAAGAATCGTGTTAAGACTGAATCTTTATAATACTGAACTCTGAAATAACAGATCTACCGCTATCACTTCCTAAAGCGTTGGCAAGAACAATTTACAGAAATTTCGATAGAATATACCCAAGTTTAGCTCCATGCTGTCCTTTAGTCTAGTGTCTTAAGAGAACTGATATTATTTTACACTTCTATATTGTTCTTATGAATTAAGTCTGAAGTTCTCAACTTAGAATATATATAACAGTCGCAACTGACCTGGGTGCTGAAGTAAAAATCTTGCAGACAGCAAGTGAGTTACAAATTATTTTAAATCAACTTGGAATTCTAAAATTTTTCAAGAAGTCTAGAGAACACAGTAGGAACAAAGCCAAGTAAATAGAGAACAAACAGAACAAGAGTATAAGAACGATTAAACGAATTAAGACAGTATTGAATTTAGGGATAAAATAAGAGAGAGGGGAACACAAGTAATAGGTAAATGTCTTTGCAAGATACATCAGTTGCCGACATATACATATTTAGTAAATAACTATTTTCGCAATACAAATGTTAGCAAAAAGGTAAGAAGAGAAAAGAAAATTTAACACGAAACTATAATTCTTGTTGCAAGGCTAATGATTATTTTTTATTAAAAGTTCCAACAAAAACAATATACTATATGTAAGATGCTATCATGTAAGATATAAACTATGAATATTCATAGAAAAACTGTTTATGGCTCAGCAACTGTTGATTCCATTAGTAAAAATCAATAAAATGTATTTTTTTAAGTGTTTATAGGTTTATTAACTACTTATTTTAATGATCACGTATGAATATATATTAATTATTTAATTTTGAACGTGAATAAAAAGGTTGTAGATCTGTATACTAACTTATTGGCTTCTTTCATTTTGCTGACAAAGTTCCAAAATGAAACTTAATATATTTTTCTTTGGACGCAACTTTTAGTTATAGTCTTTTCATCCGAATTTAGGTTTCATGTAAGCTATTTCATTACATTTGATTATTTGAAAAACCTACTGTTTTTCTATAATGTATTATTCTTTATATCACTCTGTATTCCTATTATATGTGCTTTTTATGATATTGGCAAAAAATGCAACTGTATGGTGCACGATAGGACTACAACCTAAAACAGGTAAGTTATCTTTCTGTATTGTTATAAAAGGTGAGCAGTCCGACAGGTAGTTCAGTTTTCTTAAAACTCTTAACAATGCTTCCACGAAGGAGGATTGATAAGCAAATGCTTGCAGAAAACAGAGGTACATTTTGCAAAAGTGTGAACCGATTAATTTTATATAATGATAAAAACAGAATTAGAGAGAGACAAATCTTAAAAAAAACGGCATGGAATATTTATATCAGTTGGTAGAAGAAACAACAATTCGTATTTCATTAGATAGTATGATAATGCAGATATTATAATAATATAAATATTATAAATTATAATTTAATTATATAATCTAATTAACATTTAAAGTCATATGCTGACTCTTACTTTAAAGTTTATATTTTATATAAAACTTAAAAGCAATTGAGAAACTAAGTCTGAACCTGTTAACCAAGATCTATTAATTTGAACGTCTTCAAAATTTTTTAAAGAAATGTGTTAAAATAATAGAAAATTGTTGTAATAATTGTATCAAGAATTCAAACAGAATATATTGATAAATAAACCAGTGAAAAAGAATGAAAGAGGTGCAAATGCGGTAAGAATTGAAACTTAGCTAATGGTTGGATATAGAAATATTTAAGCGACGATATATGGTCTAGAGCTATAGTTGTGGTGAATTGGTGAATTGATAACAATGATTAACTCCACCTTAATCATAATTAGCTCTGACATTTGTGCCACCTGTGAGCAATTGGTATTCTAGCCTAATCTTCAAAGCAATTTTTGCTTTAATTGTATCTATTTTATGATAATCTAAATAGCAGGTTTTTAAAGAAACGTAGTAACTTAAATGTTACATACAAATATAAAAGCAGAAGTTAACTTTTTGTATATTCAACTATATATCAGGTCTACAACTAATCGACTTAATCACAAATTTCTAATCGATTAAAGTAAAATCCTGAATTTTTCATATAATCATCATAAGTTAATATAATTAACCAGCTTATAAAAGGCAACCATTAAAATGTAGAGGACTATATGACCAAAACTTCAACAAAAATAATTAAACTTAGATAAAACGATACCTATTCCAACAAAAAAAAAATATTGCTATTACCGAAGAATTGCTAAACGAACGATTTTTTTAACTAATAATAACAATTCGGTAATTGCAGTACTAAACAATCGCTGATAATCACATAGAAGACTATTATAACCAGTATAATACCAGAAACGGAAAGCTGTTCTCAGAAAGTTTTTTAGATACCTTCAAAACATCATTTTCTCAACTACGATCAGCTAGAATAGAAAATATTAAATAATATATTGATGGAATTGGAATGGATGCTTACATTTAATTACATTTTGGAAGTTTGATAGAATCAGGAATTTAATATGAAAAAGATAATAAAGAGTAACCAATATTTTGATATTATAAATTTTTTTTCATTTTAATTATTAATTTTAATATGAAAAAGATAATAAAGAGTAACCCATATTTTGATATTATAATTTTTTTCTTTGTTTTACTGATTTAATTACTGTACGAATCACTAAAAATTTAATACAATTTTGCATTAATTGCTTAAAATATGGGTATCCAACTTTCAGTGATATATAACAGAAGTGTAGAATAGCAGTCACTCATTAACCCATGCATGCATCCCATTATAAGTGACTGGCGCATAATAGTTTTTAGTGCGTATCTTAACTAATTTGACGTCTTAAGTGTATAGGTCTTGAGAAGATTATGACATTCGAATCCAAATATGTATTATTTTCGATTTTTGTTTGCAAAAAAAAATTTGTACGTGTAGTGTAACTGTAGGAGTGTGTGAGGTTCGACTATTTTTAAGGTTCGTCAGTAACAAAATCAACAGAATTAGTCTGCAAGATTTATACGCCTATTAACAAATAACTAAAATAGGTTATAATAGAGTTTATGTTAAAATAACATAACTAAAATTATTAAAAAAATTGGGTTCTTTTATTTTTTAGATCGTAAAAAGCTATACTTTTTGCAAGATCATGATAATGCTTACGTCATACTACATGTCAATAGTAAACAGATTTTAGTACACAATATTACAAATAATCTAAGTAAAATATTAAATATTATTAAATTGTTATCCTATCAGCAAAAAACTAACTTTGTTGTGAGTGTGGCTTTAAATATTTCTGTGTAAAGGCAACTTTGCAACACCGAACTTACCCAACAACTACATTTTCGACAATGTATGGCAATTGGTTGTAGTTGACATCACCACGACCTGGCATCTGCGCCAGGGGAACGTGATACTCTTCAAACTGATCGAAGGATTTGACATTGTGTATTATGGATTTGAATGCCTGTTTGCAAAGCGGACACTCCGGCTTGATCTGTGAAGAAGACAACAGGTGAAAACAATGATAGACAAAATTAGATTCTATACACAATACATACCTTACTCCACTCGCATAAGCATTTAAAACAGAATTGATGCATACATGAATCTGTGAAGCATTTATTTTTACAGCGACCTAAACAAATTGCGCAATTCGGTGGTGGCGAAGCTGCACGCGTAGGTTCCACTTCATTGCTAGTGCCACTGGTTGTTACTTGCGCTTGTTCCTCACTCTCGGATTCGCTATTGCTGGTTGTGAAATCTGGTAACTTTTGTATTAAGCGTGGCGTAGCAGGGCATTGCATATCCACGCCCACTTCGCCAACGTGATGTGTGAAATTCACATCCAGGGAACCATTCGAGTTGTCGTTCAGAGTGGGCGCACTCACATTTGTATGCAAATCTACGGCAACGTTACCGTTAATTGAGGCAGGAGAAAGAGCAGATGACTCCGCCATGATAAATCAAATATGTTCGACGTAAAATCTGTGTTTTCGTTAACAATAATTTTAAAACTTCATTAAACAAATATTAAATTATATAGAATATTATTTTCTCTTCTTTTTCAAACTTTCCACTTCGGCACCAACTGTTTTTAATTTATGTACTAAGCAATTTTCATTGATTTAATTTGCTTTAAAATGTCTACACGACCCTTTTTATCTCTTCCTGCTTGCTCTTCGCGTTTAGCAGTTTTGACGTTTTTCCATTTTCGTACAATTTTGCAGTGGATTGTTTTTGTTGTTTTGCTTTGTTTTCATGCTATTGTGGAATTGGCTTGTTCATTTCTTGAGTGAAAAAAAGTCATTACAATCCACATATATTCATTCAATTCTTTTTAAGTGTGTTTTTGTTTTTCATTTATCCACAGATGTGACTACTTATGCGTATTAATTTTAGGCTCACATTTCATACTTTATTATTATTGTATTAATCACTATTTTAGTTAATAAATAATGTACGAATTGCACACATCTTATGGATGTTGTGCAAAGACCACTAACACTAACCACGCTTGTATGCTTTCAGCTGCTGCTGGAGAACGAATGAACACGAAGTACACCAATAAAATGGCTTGAGCTCAAAATTCACGGCAAGTGTGGGGAATTAAATTGCAAATTTAACCACGAATTTGAATAGTCACAATTTTTTACTGAGAATAATTATTAACATTGAATAATACAAACTCCAAATAATTAAAAATGTGAAGAATTTACATTGAAGCATATAATAGGAAAAAAAAACTATAATAATCATTTATAATAATTATTATAAATTATAATAATAATTAATTATAATAATCAATGTTTAGCGCCACCGATTCTTGAACAATTCTTCTTGAACGATTCTTGAATAATTACTAACAGTACTTACAAAATTATACGTCTTTCTTTAAAATCGGAAACTGTAATAAATAAATTATTAGCAGTGCATGATATAGGCTGTGTTGCTTACTACCATTTTTTATCCAAAATGTATTGAAATTGAAGTAATTTTCTCCTAAAAGGCGCAAATTCTGAAATTTATTACTAAATAACACTGTTTTGCCTTAGGCCGAGGCACAAATATGCTGGAATTTTACCCATACCATGCTCGAGATATTCTGCATAACATGGCCCAAATGGGATTCCCAGTACTGAGCTCTTTACAATACATTACTAAAAAATTATTCTTATGGATTCCGAAAAAGTGGTGTTAGAATAAAGTGACAAGATTTCTATTAACATAGGTTTTGAAAATTTTAACTAAATCTTTAACCCTTATTATTTTCTTATAACTGCTAAGCTGAGTCGTAAACCAACAACCAGAAAAACTAAATTATTTGCCAGAACGAAAATCGGTATTTAACCAAAACCTATTTATCGGTTTAACACCTTATATTTATTCAAATGTATTTCAATTAAAACTTCAAAAACAGTGTTAATGAACTAGAAAAAATAAAATTCACTGTTTATTTATTAATGTTAATTTATTTTTTTATTAATTAATTAACTATGCTCTATTTACAAAAAAATAAGGACTAAACTGAACGCAGCACAGAAGAAACAAAAACTTTTAAACAAAGCGAAATTTAGAACTTAATATATTTTTATTAATTAATAGAGGTGTAAACATTTTTATATTAATATAAATATAAGTGAATTATTAATTCAAAGGTTACAATTATGATTATTATCGCAGTTTGATGACAAATTTTATTAAAATCGGTTATTCTTAGCAATTTTTCGAATTACACTATACTACAGTCTTTGAGTGTTTGAGGTTGTTTATATATCACGGTGTTTAATTTATGTTTCTTACAATATTTGATTGCTACATACACTACTTACATCATTGGGTCCCATGGTGGAATTGAAAGTTATACACAAATAAGAGTGTTGGAAAATGTTAAAATTCACCTGACTTACATTATTTACAAGACTTTACACAAGCACCAATAATTAGCGTTTTTACTTAATTGTTATGTATTGTGAGAATGCTTATATTTCAATTAATTATTTAAAGTGAGCATTTATTCAATTCAATTTAGATTAGTTTTTAATATAAGCAAGATGACTAAAGAGAAAATATTAATCCAGAAAGCAAACATAATAGCTTGCGTTAATATAAATATCATATTAAAAATATGCAGTATTTTACTATATCACAATATCACCATATTGCCAAAAATTTACAGTGGACAGTAGAAATTTAAATTTTTTAACAGATTGAGAACTTAGTAATAATTTCCACTAATACTGAGAATACTCGTGTGAAATTTTTGTTGTCGAAAAATAGATCAACTAAAAGACGAAAAGATTAATGTTGTAAAAGAAGTCTTCGGAGCGATAAATGTGAACAGTTTTGCAGAAGTGACATACATGAGGGATGTCAGAAAGCTTGTTATAAAGAATGCACTTATGGTTTTAGTCGGAATATCAAAAGAAATGGAAAATTGAAAAAATTGACTCTTTAGTAAGATAAGTTCTTTATAACTACTTACCATATGAACTATATAGGTCTAACTAGCTCAAATCATTTTAAGTAGTTAAAATCTATTTTGAATTTAAACAAAATTTACCGTAGATATAACCAAATCGCTTAATTAATTGCTGTTGTCAAAAAAAGAAAGTCATCCACTACTTCTGTTCCATTCAAATCAATTAGCTCTTATGTTAGGAATATAAAAATATTCAACTAAAAATTTTTTTATGAAATGTCAAAATTAGCAATAAAATGAAAATTACTATGATTGCTGATAATAAAGTAAATATTTACAATAATCTATTATTATTATGTTGAGGGTTTCTTCATAACTTCTTTAGCACGTTTGCAAATGTATATTGTATGCTTTTTTCAGGAAAAACGATAGTTATTTCTTAATATAAATCTAGTTAAGTGAGCTAGTGTAAGTATGCTGAGTCATCATAAGCTATTTGATTTGAAAATTGAATATATTTATTCAAGAAATATAATTACAAATGTGTAGTGATTTAATTATTTTTAAATTAATCAATCTTGTAATTAGCATGTAAAGATGAGTACATGAAACTGAATGCTGCAATAAATTTAAGTACTTTATATATCAATGTTAATATTAAATATGTATAGCGTATTACATGTAATTGCGATTACAATATAAATGATGTGAATAATAGCAAAGATATTGTCTAAGAAAGATTCAAGTAATATAATTTTGCAGTTAAAAATTTTGAATAATCACATATAATAACTGACAATGACTTATAATATAGGAACTGATCTTATAATATTAGTATAATTATAATAAATATTATACAATTCTTTATGAAAAATTATTGGAATTATTGGAATTAACTCGAGTTACAGAGTTAACTCGAAATATGAAGGATAGGCAACTCTTAAGTTCTTCCATACATTGTGCTTGTGCATTGCGTTATGACCTTTTTTAAATAAGTGTTGTACAAATAATTGTTAATAAAATTTTTAAAATGCAAATTGCTTAATGTATATTTATCAATTTTTAATCTTTATAAAAATGTGTCCTAAATCAAATTTTTTATTAGTGCTACTCTGTTATTCAAAATTTTGAACTACATAAATGCAGTAAAAATTCATTGACAACTCTTTTAGTCTTTCACTAGTAAATACATAAATGCTTATAATCACATGTTTTAGTTTTATTTAAAATTACATATATTATTTAGTACACATGATTATTTTATTTACAATTACTACATATATTTTCTTATTTATAATTACGTGTTTTATTTTATAGATGCAGTGAATATCTAAATAAAAATATTTAAAATATCTGTATAAAAAATTTTTAACAAAATAATTTAGTTGATATAATTGGCAAAACTAATTCATTTGTGTCACACTTTTTTAGATTTCACAAAATTTTATTGGTTTGTTTATAAAATCAACTTGAACAAAACAAAAATAAAATTATTTTCGTTATTTTTAAGAGACCCAAAATATAAAGTTAATATGTATATTTAAAAAAAATTACAGTATATCAATTTTTTATAATACTACGTTTATATTGTGAGATTAAGAAAACGAGATTAAGTAAATTTGGCGTTTACATTATATATTGGAGATTAATTTTGACGTTTCTCTTGTGTTTTGTTTCATATATAAAGCATTTAATAACAATTTTGCACAAGGAAATTGTAATATAAATTTCATAAATAGTTTTATAATAACTAACTTAACAAATTTTAGTCATAAATATGCAAAACAAAACTATTATTGAACAAATTTATTAAATTTTACAAACTTTGGCAAATTTTCAATGTTTGTTTTGAATAGATTTTGACATTTCTTTTCCAATTC